AACCTGAGTGGAGCATCGGTGAGAGGCACGTGAGAAAACCCTGAACACTTGCTGCAAACACAGCTAAAGTGTGGCTCATTGTTGATTGCTCACCAATCAATGCTGATTGCTCGCCAATCAATGTGATTGCTCATGGTGCATCAAGCAGACTTAATAATGTATGTGCAATTGAACATTGACATGCCAGGTACTGTGCTAGACACTTCACTGGCATGATGCCATTTGAACCTCACAGTTATCTTACATACAGGGTAGATACAATTATCCTTCCCATTCTACAGATGAGCAAACTGAGGACTGGGGAGATTCAGATTCAGTAGCTCACCCAAGGTCACATAGCTAGGAAGTGGTAGAACCAGGGTTTCAACCTCAGCATTCTATCTCTAAAACCTGCACTCAACTGCTATTCGAAATGGCCTCCCATCACCAACCACCACTTGTGACTCCACAGCCCCGTTTTCCCATATATCAGACTAAGCAACTTGCTTGGTACAGTACATTTAGTTCTAGATTCCCACAAGACTTTCATATTTCAATAGCAATCGTATCGTTGGATGGAGTAAGGGGTCTCATTTGTGTAACACTGAAAACACAGCAAGGACCAAAAGTCCACCTTCTAGACTTGGAGAAGCCGGCTGCTATTTCGAGTGGCTTCTTAGCTGGGCAGAGTAATAAGAGCTGTTACAATAAACTCCTTGTTATTAATTAGGAAATGCTGCCTTATAACAAGGCCAATTTTTTAAGTTATGCATGTGCACATGAGTGTGCGTGTGTGTACATGCTTGTATATGCTGTGACCATGCAGCTTTATGTATGGCGATCTAGCTCTTATTTCTTTTTTGAGAGACCTCAGAGTCCAGAAAACCTTTTGATATATTAATGAGGGTCATAAAAAATAAGCTGAGGTCTATGATAAGTGGTTCTGGAGGAGTTGGCTTCCCCTTGGGCTGCTTACCGGTTCATTTGGGGACATAATAATAGATCTTCCAAACTAGCCAACTCCCTCTCCCAACCTAGGTGCTTTCACAAAATGAACTTGTTTCAATAATGGTTCATCATAAAAAAATACCACACACCTCAAGGGAAGCATTCTGAAATTTTTTTTTTAATCTATATTGCAATTTAAGAAGAAAGGTTTTACCATACTCCTGGTAGCGGAGTAACTCCAGTTGTAGACATCATGCTCTGACGACAAGTGCATGCTGGTTCGCCACTGCCACCATCTGCCCAGGGCCCTTCCTCCTCATTCTTCAAGCCCACATCACAGCCAGCACATTGAGTGCTGTTCCTCAATTGCTCTTTAGCCGTGGATATACGTGGTTCGGAAGTACTGTTTATATAGTTCTGATGATCTGGGTTTGGTTTCTAGAAATCATATTTTTAGTTGTCAAACGCTATGACAGTCAGATTTTGAAGATTTAAATCAATATATTTCAAAATTGTAATGGATGACATTTCATTTAAGTTATAAGGGCAATTCTTAAGTTATGGAGAGAAAAATCATTGCTCAATGGACTGTATTTTGTTCTTCCCTAACCTTAAAATGTTGTGTAATGGGCCACTGCATTTAAAATATTATAGCAACATGGAACAGATCCTGTACTTTAATGAAAACAGCATAAAACTAAGCGCTTCTGTTACACAATAAACATACAAGAAAAAAACTAAGGCAGCCACTTGTGTATCTGCAAACTATGGCCATGCTAAACCCAACTATCCAATTTGGCCAGTAGGACAATCCATTCCTGTAGAATGTGTCCTTCCGGTCATCACCTAAGAAGGACTAATATACAAGAAAAAAAAAACACCCCAGAAAGTACAATTACGCACCTGGCTGTTTCTGCCCTAAGCTGACAGAATGATTGCTTCTCTTCTGCTGTCTGTCCTTCTGTCGCTAAACATGGGCCCACGGCTACTTGGAAAAGTCCTTTACTGGCTCTAACAGCTTTTCTTCTCCCTTTGGGTTTAACCTTTCCTTCCAGTCTCAGACTTCCAGGCTGAATGGACGTGAAGTTTGCCACTTCCCTCTGCGTAGACTCCAGATTTTTGGCAATAACACACCCGCAATCCCCTACCAGCTGGCTTCCAGCCATTCCTATTCCACACCTCAAATGCTGGACCTGGTTGCCTTTCCTGAGCTCTCTGTGCTCCTCCCACTACTTCCCACCCCCAGATTTTCAAGATTCCCCCATCCCCAACTTTAGGACCCATCTTGCTTCTCTACTACCTTCCTACCACCTTCTCTCTGATGGCTCCTCCTTCCTCCTGTCAATAATTTCACTTAGGCCTTTCCTCTCTTCGTATTTTACCTCCCCTGATGACGAATGCATTCTCTGGCTTTCAAGGTTTGCCTCTCCATGGAATGAGCCCATAAAATCAACCCCCTGCCTTCCACTGCCTAATGGACACTTCTGAGCCATGCATTCTGAGGACAGTGGTGACGTTATGGTGCTTCGCAGATTGCAAAGAAGGTTCATTTGATTGCTGTCTGCAGGCGATTGCTGGGCTCTCCAGCAGGGCTGTCCTTTAGGGAGGACCTTTCCCAAGGGAGACCCCTTTGGGATAGAAATGCCTCTTCCTTTCTAGGACCTGTCTGATGTTTTTCTTGCTGAAGAGAAGCCACCACCACAGTGTGGGCTTATGGGAGCCTCCTCTCATGACCCAGCTGTCAAGGTTCTATGAAAGATTCAGCATTTAGGAGCTCAGGGCCCAGGGCAGTGACAGAAGGTGTAGAGATGGTCGGGAACGTGGCTCCAAATCTTACACAGACTTACACTCAGGCCCTGCTCCTGACATTTCTTAACCACGTGGCCTTTAACTGTATGTTGTGTGCTTCCTCTATAAAATGAGGACCATAGATAGCTCAGAGGGTTGTTATAAACTAACTGGAATGTATACATAAATTGCCTGGCACATACAGGGTCAATAAATGATAGATCTCATTGCTCTAACTTCCTAAACCTTTACCTCGGACTCTTTGGCTCTTCCCAAAACATCACCGAGGACTCGTATGTATTCAGTTGCACCTTTAAGAATATCAACTTTGCTAGGCTTCCTGCTTTGAGGAAGAAATGGCACCAATGCCTTCAGTTTGGAAAAACCACGGTTGAGATTTTTTATCTGGAAAACAAAAAGGCACAGTGAGAACAGAGAAGCTAATTTGTACAGACATCCCCCCAAACCACAGAAGGGGGCTTTGAAGGCTCCCTTCCACAGCTCTCTAGTCTGGGTGGGGCATCTAAGCAGGCACATGCCACAGAGTCACCACTTCACCTTTCCTTCCAGTCTCAGTCTTCCAGGCTCAATGGACTTGAAGTTTGCCACAGAAAGCGATTCCTTCCTGGTGGGAAGGCCCACACAAAATGCAAAATATTGGATCCGAATCTTGTTTGAGGGCCACATCATCACAGCAGATCACAGGGTTATTTTCATGAAGAGTCTAGTGTCTGGTAAAATCATGTTTCTCCACTCTTGCAAGTTTCCCAGTAAGTCTTTTACTCTTCCTTGGTCCTTTCTCCTTTTTTTTTTCCCAAAGCTCCTAGTTGATTCACCGGGGCTACATTTCTAAGGGGCAGATGGCAGCCACCTGGGGCAGTGGCCCCAACTGCTCCCACAGCAGGTCCTCCAGCACCTCGGCCCGGCGGGGTGCCCAGGAACAGGCCCCAGCAGAACTTCTTCCTCAGTCCCAGCTTAAATGTGCGCCCCTGCCTCTTCCACCATTCACCCTCCCCAGGATCCTCTTCTGCTGCAACCCAACCTACAGAGGCTGCAACTGAACCAAAGGAGACGGATCTGACAAGTTTGGGTTTCATTACAAATACCAAAAGCTACCAGTAGATGCCGCTCCTACTACGGCCCACGGGACCATTCGGGTTGGTGATGCAGCGCGAACCCAGCCTGACTGAGAAATGGGCGCTTTCTCTAATTTGTCAGGAGATTAACTGGGAGTGTGGTGCACACTGCGACATTGGGGAAGGGGAGGTGGGGTTGTTTGTTTTTGTTTGTTTGTTTAAAGAGTAACTTCCTTGCCGAAACCGGTTTGGCTCAGTGGATAGAGCGTCGGCCTGCGGACTGAAGGGTCCCAGGTTCGATTCCGGTCAGGGGCATGTACCTGGGTTGCGGCCACGTCCCCAGTGGGAGATGTGCAGGAGGCAGCTGATCGATGTCTCTCTCTCATCGATGTTTCTAACTCTCTATCTATCTCTCTCCCTTCCTCTCTGTAAAAAAATCAATAAAATATATTTAAAAAAAAAAAAAGAGTAACTTCCTTTAGGCCCCACGCACGCCATGTGTGCTTGGAGACAGAGACGCAGAGCGCAGGGACAAGGGATGGCGAGAGGCCTGCGCGCCCCAAGCGCCCACCAGCGCACTCGGTTGTAAGATGTAAGCGCAACTCGGGAGCTCTAAACTTTCAAAAGCATCTGCCAAGGGGGGACATTCCTGAAGTTGTCAGGGGCCTCCTCAGCTCCGCGGGCGTCTTAGCACCAGTTCAGGGGGGTAGGCATGTGAGGTACCCATCCCGGTGGCGGCGAGTGAGCAGCTGGACCAGGGTGGCGGGTAACCAGGCCACTGTCATGCACCCTGGCCAGGACACAGCCGGCCCTCAGGAGGCCGACGCTCCTCGGGGGGGCCCCACGGTTGGCCAGCGAGTGGGTGCACTGGGGCCTGACCAGGTGTTGGGAGCTGGTAGCGGGGATGGGGGCGGGGAGAGGGGAGAAAGTCATTCCTGTCCTGGTGCCGGTCCTGGGGTGGCCTCGGGGACCCGCGCGGGGCAGGGCGCTCACCCTTTCGCGCTCCTTGGCGTTGGCCACGCGCCGTCGCTCCAGCACCAGCTGCCGGTCCTCGGTGGACGAGTAGCCGCCCGAGGGCAGCCGCTTGAGCCGGCAGATGGCGGCCAGCTGGGGCAGTGGCCCGAACTGCTCCCGCAGCAGGTCCTCCAGCACCTCGGCCTTCGGGGTGACGAGCAAGCCGGGCACCATGTCCATGGCTGCGCGCTGGACCGGAGCCGCCCGGGCCTTGGGCCTCTTATCTCTTATCCGGGGCACCTGGGGCCGCACGAGGCCCGCGGGCCGCGGGGGCGGGGCCTGGACCACCTGCGCCCATAAGCCTGCCCGCCGCGGGCACACCGGGTCCCGCTCTGGAAGCTGCATCTCTCTCTGTGTACAGTGGGGCCTTGACTTACGAGTGTCCTGACTAACGAGTTTTTTGAGATACCAGCTGACTCTCGCAGATTTTTTGCTTTGAGTTGACAGAGTAATTTGAGTTAACGAGCTCCTTAACGAGCTCGGTCTCGGAACGAATTAAACTCGTAAGTCAAGGCCCCACTGTATACAGTTAGATAGGTATGTTTTACAAAGCATTTCATACTGTTATTTCCACTTCCAATCCAACACCTCAGGTTTCTCCCGAGTGTCCCCCTTTTCTTATTTGTAACTTCCCTCTTTCTTTAAGAATATACATTTTAATACATATTTATATTTTCTAAAATATACTTTTGTTTGCTCTAAGTTCATTTTGAGGCAGATAGAGGGCAACAGGAGCCAAATGTGTGGGAATGAGGCCGAAAATGGAGATAGTTTACCCATTTTCTCAACTTTCCTTGAGGATCAAAGAGGACATGATTGACATGGTTCTATTTTTACCGCCAAGCCCTAGAGTGGACCAGCTGGTGTGTATCAGGAACCCAGTGTAAGAACCTTATTCTTTCACTAGAGGCCCAGTGCACAAATTCCTTCACGGGTGGGGTCCCTCGGGGTGGCCTGTGGAGATCGGGCTCAGCTCATGCCCCCAGACTCGCAGCCCAGCAGCCCCGCCTGGCACCCCACCTTGGTTTAGAGCCACCCCCTCCACCTGCTCCACCATCCCCCGTGGTCCTGCTCTCATTGGGGCCCATGCGGCCAGCAGCACCTCCAGGGTCGCCCAGGCCCACCATGGTCTGTGTCGCCCCTGGTGGTCAGCGCAGGTCATAGCGAGTGGTTAAAATCCTGGTCTCCCTGTGGAACGACTGCTCGAGGAGACAATTTGCATATTAGGCTTTAATTACATAGGATATTTGCTCCCCTCCCTCAACTTTCTGGCCTCTTGGCTGTTAGAGTCCTCCATTGAACCACCTGTTCTGAGGGAGAGCAGTCTGAGCTGAGTTGTTACACCTGATAGGGACTTAGTGCCAATACCTGGCCATCACCCAATAATGCAATGGTCTAACCAAGAGTTTATTTCTCCTTCCTCTAACAGTGTGAAAGGCATAGGTCAGCAGTGCATCTCTGCCCATCATGGTCACTTAGGGACTTAGATTCTTTCCAAGGCATGCTCCTCCATCATTGCTCAAAAATGGAGCTGGTGCCCAGCAGGGACCAAACCTTGAAGCAACAAAGTCCCAGGCCATTCACCACAATCAAGGTGCAGAGCAGGGTCAGAAACTCTTCTAGGTGTACCAGCTAGAGGCCAAGGAATTTGGCCAGCTAGAGTTCAGGGTTTTAGGTGCTAACACGAGCTTTGGGAGGATTGAAGGAACGGGGGAGCTCTGAGTCAAGAACACACATGACCAAACCTATAGACCAGGGAGCAAGGAGCCATTGCTCCTGCAGCTGCCACTCAACCCCCCAAAGCTGGGAAGGGGCCACCCTCCCTGTGCAGAGACGGTCCTCACCTCCGGGCTTGCCCACAGGAAATAGACAAAAGGGCAGGGAGGTGTGCGCTGCCTCACTTCCACGCTAGGAAGCTCGCACAAGTGTTTCTAATTACATCACCTTAATTGGCATCCAGAAGCCCGGGTATAAGGAGTTCGTGGAAAATGGAGCAATGAGAAAAGGCAGCCTGGAATAGGGGGGTGAGGATGGGGATTGAGAGAGCCCATCCATCTTTTTTTTTTTAATATATTTTATTGATTTTTTACAGAGAGGAAGGGAGAGAGATAGAGAGTTAGAAACATCGACCAGCTGCCTCCTGCACATCCCCCACTGGGGAAGTGCCCGCAACCAAGGTACATGCCCTTGACCGGAATCGAACCCGGGACCCTTCAGTCCGCAGGCCGACGCTCTATCCACTGAGCCAAACCGGTTTCGGCGAGCCCATCCATCTTATCTTCCACCATGAGACACAGACATTGCTCCTTGCTCCATCTCATGCCCAACATGTTCACCTCATCAATCTTTGCCTGTTCCTTGCCCTGAGGCTCCACTGAGAGGAGCCTTCCCTCCTATATCTGCCATCCTGAGTGCACTCAGCAGCCTCCCCATCACCCCAACCAGACCAAGGCTCAGACACAACTCCCTTAATCTCCTTTGCTCAGTCAAGACACAAAAGAACTGCTAAAAAGCAACTTTAGTAAGAGCATACAAAGAAAGACATTTTTAACAGGATCAAAAACTTCAAAGAGACATGTCTACATTGCCCAGAATTCCTGTCCAAATTAACTTGGCAATGTTACTCATAATCACATAAATTTGTATTGTTATCTATAATAATAAAAGCATAATATGCTAATTAGGCCAGAGATCCTTCCGGACGACCTTCCAGATGAAGCCGGGGCTGCAAGGGAAGCCCGGGTCCCGGGTGCCACAGGGAAACTGGTGCCAACCGCCGGGGAAAGGAAGGCCTACTCTTGCATGGGTTTCATGCATCGGGCCTCTGGTTTTTACATAGTATGTACTATTTTATCTCACTACTAGAGGCCCGATGCACGAAATTTGTGCAAGGGCTTGGCCCCTACTGCCTTGGCAGCTGCCTCTGCCTTAGCCCCCGCCCACCACGGCTTCGTCCAGAAGGTCGTCCGAAAGGCTGTCCAGAAGGATGTCTGGTCTAATTAGCATATTATGCATTTATTATTATATATATCCCTGGGAATCAGACTTAACGCCCATTGTACAGATGAGAAAATTGATGCCGGAGAAGTTGAATGACGAGCCACGGTCATGCTGCTGGTCAGTGGCACAGCCAAGCCTAGAACTCAGATTTGCTGCCTCCACTGTAGTTCTTTCTCCTCGAGGTCTGAGTGGCCTCCTCCCTAAATCAGTGGGCCCAGCCCCCTCCCCCCTGCCCCCCACGCTTCCAGTTGACTTGGTCCATTGACAAGCAGAGCCTTAAGAGAGCAGCAGGGTCTGTGAAACATGCCCCACATTCACTTCCCCTGAGGCTCTTCCTCCTCCACCCACACTGGGCATGAGCTGGGGTTAATCTTGGCCACATCACCGGCAGGGTTAACGGTGGGTCAGAAGTGCTCTTTGCCAAAAGTAGAGAAGAGGAACAGACCCACAGGCGTTGTCCCCAGGAAGCTTCAGCAGGTGCAGAGAGATGCCTGGCAGCCTCCACGCAGGGGTAGGTGGAAGCTTACAGCCCCACGGGCTGTGGGGCCTCACAGAAGAACTGAGACTTAAACAGGACCCCAGGGTTAGTCGCAGGTCAGGTGGAAGAGCTGCTGTATCACAGGACCGTTGGACAAGTCACTCAAACTCTAGGCCTCATCTTGCCACCTGTAAAGTGGAGATTTTACTAGAACCTTCCTCAGAGTTGTAGTGAGGAGTCGATTTGGTCACTGGCATAACAGTAACAGCTGATGTTGCACAGAGGGATCTGTGGGCCATGCACCACTCTAAACTTGTATACAAGAACTTTCTTAATCCACACAACAGCCTCAAGGGGGGGGGGGGGGGGGACTCTAATATTTTCACAGAAGAACAACTGAGACACAAAAGTCAGGTAGAAAGGGGCAAAGCTGGGGTTGGACCCAGACAGTCTGGCCACAGAACTTGGGTCTCTAACCACCAATCTCTCCTGCTTCACGTAATTCCCACTGTCCTGTAAGTGATGGCTACAGCAGCAGAGATGATTTATGAGCCAGACAGAACGTCCAGAAATTCAGCTATTGTACAGATAAACCCTAAGGCACTCATGCAGAGGGATGTTCTGAGCACCAGTGCAAACGCTGCAGTCAGAGCTGGCGGAGAGGACGCTGAAGCACAGGGCTCAGTTCCCGCGGCCTGGTAGCGAGATATTAAGAAAGGCCCATTGGGGCCACCCCAAAGACAGCCTGGAGTCCCTCTTCAAGGTGGGAATGGGAAACGCTTGTCAGATATAAGAAGGGTAAGATTATAACAAAAGCAGGACTTAGGGGAGAGCGAAGAAGCAGTGGGGCGCGGGCTGCTTTGGGGGAGACAGGGGGAACTAAGAGGCGAACGTGTGCTGCGAAGACCCTTGTCCTGCAGGAGGAAGCCGTCTGAGGCCCGGCAGGTCGCTTTTCTATCTTAAATCCCCTTCCCACGAGCGACCCAGGCCTCCTTACTCTTCTGTGGTTTTTCCTGGGGTCTGGGGCCTTCACTGACCGTGGGGTTGGTTGGCTTTGAGCTGCGGGAATTGCTGGCAGCAGATAGAGTTAGAGTGACTTATAAGTGGCCCTTCTAAGTGAGAACAATACAAAAGGAGAGGGGCTTTCTAGCAGGCATGGTGTAGGCACACGGGGGGACTGGGCCAAAGCCCAGGCCTAAATCTGGGTACAGTGTCTGGGAACAAGTGTTAGTAGAGGACACTCAGAACTGCTGACGATAACATGGGCACATTTTCCTCTAAACTAGTGACTTTCCTCATCCTCAAAATGCTGAGACATCTTCCAGAATGTGTTCACTCTCCGGACGGAGAAGTTGTCCCCTGCCCCCAGAAAAGCAGGCCTGGGAGGTCATTTCATGACAGCAAAGAAGTCTGCGCCCTCTTCCCCCTCGGCCAGAGCCAGGCTCTCCCCTAAGTCACAGTGTGAGAGCCCAGCCTCCATCAGGTTGGGTCCCTGTACCCAGAAAGACTGGAAACCATGGCTCTGGGAGAAGAGGCTGTGGGCATCAAGGTGCCAACAGCACAGCCCGTGTGGTGACAGTTGTCTGTCACAGCCTGCTACTGCCGCCAACACAATCCATGGTCACCACCAGGGGCAGCTGTATGGGGTTTCCACAGCAGAGACAGGGTGGGGCAGGCCCTCCAGGGTGAGAGCTGGCCACTTCCTCCAGGATAGCTGAGGACTTCACTCCGGCTCCTCAGATGGCTCCACTCAGTCTGCAGACAACTCGGTTCCTCTGCCATGCTGACTCCCTCTTGGGGAAATTGCAGCTTTCAGAACCTCCCTGGGAAGAGAGACAGGCCAGCCCAGGCATGAGAATTGACTCTGGAGTGAGCAGGAGAGAATCCTTCAGGTTTATTAATGGGTCCCTGTCCCGTTACCTTTGGCCCACAGGCTGTGGTTGGCTGGATTGATGATGCAGAGCTGCCTGCTACTCCAGACTGTCACCTCCCTCAGGCTTCAAGCTCCACAGACTCCTTGCTGTGGCTGTGAGGGGCTGAGTCTCCCTGCCTCCTGCTAGAATACCAACTACACGAGGGCTGGGACTTTTATCTGTTTGTTTCACTGTTGAATCCCAGAAACCTAGAAGAGTGCCTGGTACACAGTAAAGGCACAAGAAATATTCCTTGATTGAATGAATATTGATAAAAAGCAAAATTCTTCAAGTAGATTTAGAGGTTATGAATCCTTAGACATAAAACAAAGAAACTCTGAAATATATAAATCAAAAGCTTTATAAATACAAGACTGTGATAAAATGATACACATAGATTAATGTTAAACATGCAAGAGTTTTCTTTTAATCCTCTTAGAGAAATTGATAGGTTGGGCAGACAAATTATAAATGAAGGATATACGTAGAACATCTAAATAATAGCAATCACAAGCCTAATGTAATAAATATGCCCATGGAACATTTATAAAAAGCGAGCATATACAAGACCAAAAGAAAATCACAGTAAATTCCAAAAAAATCAGGACATATTCTTTAACACTGGCTGCTATTTTATTTAGTATAAGACAGGAAAATCCTAAAAATAAAAATACACACATTCATGTCTGTTTTTCTCCAAAAATCTACTATAATGACAGTGAAGAAATAAAAACAGGAAAAACACAGGATGACAAAGAATGGGAGAAGAATCGATAGCAGACAAGGCATTTCAACAACATTTGGAAGCTGGGAGTGAATGGGTGGGTGGTAGCTGACTCAGCAAAACTGAGAAAATGGAACTCTACCACAGTAGTAGTGTCTGAAGAGGGGTAGTGAATAAAAATCAGGACAACTCGGTGAACTCAGAACTCAGAAATACCTGTTACCTCTGAAGGCAGGGGTGCAGGGCAGACTGAAAACAGAAGAACTGGCTTACCCATCTCCTCCTCTACCTTCAGTAACCAGGCAACACCCCACTGCCTACATTGCAGAAGGGCGGTTTATATCCAGGGAGGTCTGCACAGCCAGACTGAAGCAGGGAGCTTCAGGAGCCTCTATATATGAAACAGGGAGCTGCCTGGCCCCCTTCTCCCTCTGGGCCCATAGACTGCTAGCCGCTCAGCTTCTATTTCCCAGGCCAAATATTGAAGAATTTCTTTCTGAGGAGTGTATTACCCTGGTGTTACTGGATGGGGTCTGGGCCTGGGGTGGGTCTGCCTAGGGCCTGCTAGTAGTGTGCGGGTCCTTGACTTTGTATAGGAAAGATTTCACAGCTTGGTCCAGGTGGCTTTTGAGAGTATATTTTGTAAAGCTGGGGACAGTGAAATAAAGGGAGGATTTAAGGTAGAAGAGGCAGCAGGAGAGGAAAAGTCAGAGAATAGGGGGCCTTAGAGACTGGGTTAGGGGATTAGCCCAGGGCAAGCTGCCACTGACCGCTGCTCCCCTGGTTGCAAGTCTTGTGGGATCCCCTGGAGTTTAGGAGAAAAACAGCAGAGATACAAGGAGTGGGTGTGCTCTTGCGAGAGAGCACGCCATGGATCCTTTGTCTTGAGGCTTCTTATCTTGCTTTGGCCAGAATCCTAGGGGAGGTCTCAGAGGAGGTTCTTAGCAAATAGTCATTAGCTTTTCAGGTGTTGTCCTTCAATGTGTTGATTCATCACACACATTGTGAAAACCTTGTGATTCGTTAGCTGGATGTAAATTGCTCATATTTTTGGCCTTGTTTAATTATATTGTCCCAGTTTCCCTTATTCCACTTGTCAAGGAATCTCCCTAGCTTCCTACTATCCTGACTCACTTGGAGGAACTGCAATCAGAAATGCAGGGATACTCTGATGACAGATGCAGCTAGCCACTTCATGCCCTTCCGTAGAACCCACCAATCACCAAGCTTGTCCCATGAAGACCTAAAAACTTTTGAAAAACTTAGAGACTTGCCCTGCTAGATAACCAAACATATTATAAAACTACAATAATTAAAACAATGTGTTTCCCGTAAAGGAAAAGGGAATTCATTGGAATGCAATCAAGGGTCCAGAAACGAACTTGTGCATTTCGTATTTGAAAAAGTTGGCTTTTCAAGTGAGTGAAAAAGAGTATGTTATCATTTAATGATATTTGAGAAAATTCCAGATGGCTTAGTAATATAAATGTAAAAAATAAAGCTATATAAAAGTGGTAGAAGAAATACAGCAAAATGTTATTTCAATCCTGGGGTAGAGGAGGGGTCTCTAAGATTAATAAAAAGCTAAGAAGCCATGATAGAAAAGGCCAAAAAGAAAATATGAATGCACACAGATTAAAGTCTGATTCAACCAAAGATATCATAAAAGATAAATATATTTCCATTTCTGATCAAAGGAGTAACTGGACCAGCCCTTTGCTGTAAGCAACTAGAAAACTGGACAAAATGCATGAAACAATTATTTTCAGACATTGGACAACAGAGCAAAACTGCGATTCAAGCTCCTGGATGGGGAAGCAGACCGGATGGGCCCACAGCACCCCAGGGTCCTTCCTTGACACTCTTTTCAGACCACAGTGCAGGGAAGAGGGCCCACAGGGTCATGACAGTCTCACTAAGCTGGAGAGAGGAAAGTGGGAGTTTGGGGAGACAGAGAGTGCTTGAATCTGGGAAGGAGTACAAAGGGGAGGGAGCTGTGCAGTGAAAGCACTCCAGGAATGTTAAGGTTCCCTCTGCATGCATAGGGTGGGGGGACACCACAAGGCAGGGCAAAGAACTGCTCAGAAATTCTTATTCTGAGCTGAGCTGGCAGAAAGCTGAGTCCCAGGAAGGGGGGATGGGGTCCCAAGACGAGGCCAAAGCCAGAGAGTGTAACAGTCTGAAGACAAGACAAGACCAGCCACCGGAGAGAAAGAAGGTTTTCCAGTGGTTTAAGGGCCTGGAAAGATCCAGCCCAGGTCATCTGCTGCAAAGGAAATGCAGGGGACACCTGGGGTGGCCATGACTTGTTTCAGGAGAAGGGACACCGGGGAAGGAGAACCGATCCCAGGAGAAGAGCGTGTGGCGGCTGTCGCAGAGACAAGTACGAAGCTTCTGCTCATCCACAGTGTTTATTGAAGACCTGCCGTCGGACAGGCCTGCGCTGGTTGCTGCAGCGGATACAGAAGCACAGCAAGGCTCTTGCCTTGAGAAGCTGTTCACCCCATAGGGTCCTACGAGGTAAGCACGCGTGAAGGGTTAGATAAAAGGACAGGGCAGGAAACACAAAAGGCCAAATGGAAGGCCCCAGAGAGCAAGCTGGGTTCAGAGGCTCAACAGGACATCATGGTGGGAAGGGTGCAGAGCTGGCAGGGGCAGGGAGCCCGAAGCTCTGGCTTACTTCAGGCCACACCCTGGCTGAGGGGCTTCTTGCAGATCCACTGATAGAGGGCATTGCAGTTGTTGTCATTCCACTTCTGCTGAACATGTACACAATCTTCATCCTGCCCATTCCCGTGCTGCCAGTTGTCTGGCTGATTATCGTTCCAAAACCTGGAAAGAAGAAGGCTAGATGAAAGAAGCACCCCCCCACCCCCGCCGCCGCCTCTTCTGTGGCATAAGGAGCTGCAGTGACATGGGTCCCTATTTTCCTGGTGGCCCCAGGATGGGAACAGAGCTGGGCCCAGACTCACCATCAGGGTGCTCTGCTGAGGTTGTCCTTGGTTACTGAGTGTGGAGAGCGGCTACAGTATTTGGACAGGTTCAAGCCTCGGACTGATGAGAGGGCACAGTCCTCTCATGGCCACGTGCAAGTCCCAGCTTGGGGGGCAGAGCCCTCCCAGCACAATTATAGCCAACAGCTATAGTTGTAAGCTTGAACCTATGGTCCGAACACGTAGCCTCA